CTAAGGGGGTAGCTTTTGAGACTAGTTATTGCATCCGTTATGTGAAGATATTGGAATGATAACTAACCGGCAGTCTATCAAGATGTATTTTACCTTTAAAGTGAGATCTAACTGCTGAAATTTAGTGATTTTCGTCAGTTAACTCCATCAGACTGTACATAGAAACCAGTAGAAAAGCAGATTTTTTAATCCACAGTAGGTTTTGGTCAGTTTCATTTCTGTAATGGAATAACAAACTAAACGTTTGCTCCCATTGAGAGGTCAATATCTGTTAGTCTTCTGACTAAGAAGTTGACGCTTGGCAATGAGATTTTTATTACAAAATACTACAGTTCAGAGAACATAAAACCATCGTCAACCTCATTCTTGCAAACAAATTCACTCAATCGTTTCAAAATGCTAGTCACCATTGTTGTCTGAAGATAAAAACTTAAGGGTTTAGTTTATATTAACCAAGGGTTTTAAATAGTTCAGTTGATATTACTATTTATTAGCATACTTGCAATTCTGCGTTGTTTTACTGGATCGAATTGCTTGACCTCTAGGACAAAACGCGCATCCTGGATTCCTATGTTAGCCACAAACAACCAAATAACCATGATTAAGTTAAGCTGGTAGTTTCAAAAGTTCTCATCGTGTGAAGCAGAAAAAGACGTATAAGTAAGCCTTATTGCTTTCAACTAGACCCCCTTTAAATCTTACTCCCATATAAAGAGTCGACAGTATATAAGAACTAAGCCAATTATGTAAATTCGTCGATCAGTGATAAATGCCTTTGAAACATATAGCATTAACGATGGTGATGATAAAAATTTTTTTAAAGATAACGCTGACAGTCATAATTACAGTGTTGAAAAAATTACTAGTAGTACAGATGATAATGGTGATAAGAACCACGAAGACAGAATGGTAATGTAGACACTCTGATCATCAAAGTGGGTCAAAAGCTTATAAAACTAAAAGATACGCAATTCCAAAGTAAGAAGTAAGTGGATCAACAAAGTCTAGACAAAAATGTTTGGTATACGAAAGGAGTGAAGCATAAGAAAGGGATAGAAAAATTCCACTGTTGAAGCAGTTTACTAAATATTCGTGCCCACAGAAGAGATAGGGGATGTATAAACTCCTTATGAATGCAAATATCAGGGTTATTGGCCCCAATTCCTACAGCTTCTGTTATGTGTAAAAGATGAGTTCGAATACCAGCCGGAAGATTAAGTGGTATACGATAGATAATCTTGAAATCATTGTTTCAATCTACTGAGTGATCGCTATCGACGAGATGAGCAAAAAATGGAGCTTCCTATGGATTTTTCCTGTTCCTTTCCCAACCAAGTGGTATCCCCTACATAGCTTTCTCCACGAGATTAGCTAACATTGTAAGTCCACATGGAAACGGCGAAGCTAAATAACTTACTTTTCACCTAAGCAACATCTGAGTTAATATAATTTTAAGACTTGAATTTTAGAGTTCATAAGGTTTGTAGTAAGAATTTAAACAAAAGTGACACTTTATTATACAAGTGGGTTTCAGTATATCCCTAACGTGTCTAAAAAAGCCAAAAAACAACATTTTTCTGGACGTTTTGCAGTGTGTCACACCTCATTCTGCCAAAGAATTTAGATTTTTATTGAAGATCTTGAGTAAAATCCAAATGTTCTCCTGTAGAAGCTGTGGCATACATATTTAAAAGTTAGGAAAAACCTTGTCATGATTTTCCAAACTCACCAGGATTATAATAAATCCTACTTATATAATGATGAAATTAGACTTGGTGCTCAAATGTTTTCAGGACATTCGTAATAGTAATGAGCTAGATATTTGTGAATGACACTTGACGTTGTTCAGCCGTTAAGTTACAGCGTTTGCTTTTTACGTTAAGCTGTTGTTTGTCTAGAACGTTAGACAGTTAAAATTTATCACTGATCAAAGAGCGAAGTTATTTTAACAATGGGTGATAAGGTAGTCACTCGATTCCGTCATGTTCATAGCTTTATAATCGAACTGCAGATGATTCATTGCTCTTCAGTCACTCACGCTGTTAGATTCATTGTAAATTTGAACAACTGTTTTCCAACACTTTTAATCACTGAAAACTTAGGTTTCAGGCAAAATACTATCAGGATTTTTAAGTCGGTAGCTGAGGACGTGCGTCTTTAACGTGAAACAACTAACAGATACTTTGTGCTACTGATGGGTAGTCGCTGACAATAGAATCCAGAAAGCGTTTTTTGTCCTACTTGCGACTCGTCAGCTGAATAATACGAGCAACAACATAAAAACTAACAGATGAGTTTTCGTAATGTACTGAAAGGGATCTGAAGTGTAAGAAATGCTATTCGCTGACTAATGAATAAGATTTTCCCTTGCTTTTACATGACATACCTTGAATGTCTTAACAGCTTTCCGAACAACTAATCAACAGTAGTATTTTATACTGTTCCATCTTGTTAGGCAATTGATCATAAAAAACTCTACTTGACCTTCGTAGTAAGAAACAATCGGTTAGTAATGTTACCTTTCTCTGGCCCAAATTTGTCAGCATTTCTTTATGTATTTTTTGCAGCTGATTGAATGGTTCTTAATCTCACTAATTTCTCATGTATTTAAGATGCTAAGAATTTTTCCTGTTTCTAAATGACCAACTCTTTTCAAAATGATTGTTTTTTACGACTACTTCACTTGGACAATCTTACTTTTGAACAAATACAAGAACTTGATTTTTTTCCCTTCTTATGCATATATTGAATGCTTGCATTTAATGTTTTGCAATTCATCAAGTTTCAACATTATTTATGATGTTACCATATACCAATAAGGCTGCTCTAGTAACTATTTCAAGTGATGCATATCTGAAATTAAGAGAAAAGTAGTATTCTCTCAGTGATTAAAAAATGTGCCACTCATTGCTAGTTTCAGGAGTCTTTCTTCTAAGCTAATTAGGCCACACTTGATCCCCTGTAGAACTGTATGGTGTAAACAAGTTGATTATCAGTGAGTAATCGACGTAGATGTGAAATACAAACTGCTCATTCCTGATGGAAGTCTATTCATCATGTTTGCAACTTAGTCACCCAGTTAAGTGATGTGATACTGTGGTGCACTGTTTTTCGGTATTAGCTGTTAGAGGTCGGTTGATAGTTTTAATATTTAGAGTTCAAGTATATGTGTGAAAAAGTCACAGAATGCAGTAAACTACTAGAGGATTTCCATAACTCAGAAGGTGGAACCTCATAAGGAAACTTTAGATCATTCGAAGCACAATTAGTAGTGACATTGTATTCATTACATTAAGCATCAAGTAAGCATTAAGCGTTAGTTAGGATATGATTTCGATAGAAACATGATCAATTGTATTAAACATTATCTTTTCAGTCTTTTAATTGCACAGATAGGTTAAAGTATGAGTTAAATTCAAAAGTGCATACAACTAAGAAGTAAATTCAGTACGATTATACACACTTTTCATGTGACAGTTTAAATTATTTTCTACCTACGTTTATAAATTACCGTTGCTATACTTGATCAAACTACCCAACCACTGTTGACAGATGGGCTTATGAGCAGGTGCCTCATTACTGCCTGAATATTAATCTAATTATACTTTGCTCGGTTGTTAGCAGTGGTATCTAGGACACGCATTTCGTTCCGTTTAGGACTCCTTAGTTGGATATGCCAGTGATCAAGTGAGTAATGGTTTCCTCGCTGGGACTTGAACCCAGTACTCATCAAGTCAAACGCTTAAACGTTATCAGCATACTTGATTACTGCATACAAGTCTAGTTCACCTTTAATGAAATTTTCCCACCTTTAGAACTGCATACTCTACCATTAATGGTAGAATGGTCGCTTTTTAGTTTATGGTCTTAAGTTTCAGCGTGCTCTGAAGGATAACCAAAGCACTCTCATAAGCGTTTTATAACAGATGTATTGCGAATATACTTCAGAAGTCTCCTTGAAACTTATCTGAAGAGACTATATTTATATACCATCCAACTTGTACCTATTCATATGAGATATTTATTCTACTCTATTACTATACTACAACCCCCTAAATGAAATTTCATATTGGTTTCTTGGATGACTCCAGGAGAACTAAATACTTTTTTTCTAGTCGTCCATTATCCTCTTGCTCGCTTAGTGTATCCGTAAGTTTTAATGGGATTAATTAGCTATTTATTTTTCAATCTAATAATTTGTCATATTTAAGAAATATTGTCTTTACAAAACTGGTAAGATTTACTTTACTAACGGAAAAATGCTTGGAAAATAGGCTGAAGTTGTTTAATGATGGATTGTGGCTAGCAGTGGTATCCAGGATGCGCATCTCGTCCTATTTTGGACTCGTCAGCTCCCAGTGAGTGATGTCGTTCCCACCTGGATTGGGACTCGGTAGCGATTGCTTCAAATGCCAGTGCGTTATCCACTACACCACCGAGCCAATATAGCCACTTCTTGTGTGACGGGTATAGTTTTTAGTATAATTGTTTTTATATGATACCGTCGTTGATTAGACCGAATTGATTGGTCTCTATTGTCATATGGGCTCCTGTGCGGATGCCTCGATATTGCCTGCTTTCTAATTGCATTAATGATGGATGGCTATGTTATGAAGTACCCTTATCATCCAATGTTTGAAAAGAAATAGTGCGAATACAGATTATGATAAACTAGGAACCATTAAAATCTAAGAATACTGTTCCATTCTGTTTGGAATCTACAGGTCGAATACGCTTGGAACACATTTTCACGAATCCAGCTGTAAGTGAGTAATCACTGTGTAAATCACTATGATGAAGGAACAACCAGATTACAAGTTTTGAACACGAGGTGCTTTCTACTACCCAAAAACACTAAAACGCAACTAATATGAGTATAGAGGATTCTATCCTAGCTGCTCATATGATAAGAGTAGATAAGCTTTTCAGCTTAAAGGTCAATAACGAATGTTTACAAAGCTTGATAAAATAGATATGCAATCTAACACAACAGAACCTACCGATTGATGGAATTTATTGTTGACCTCATGTGTGTTACACCCATATTGCTTGTAGTCGATTGGTGTTGTAATTGGCATTGTTATCTGTGTCTGAGTCACTTGTGTTGGTGAGAATGATGTTAAATACTGATAAGTACTTCTGGGAGATCCGGACTCATCAGATAAGAGGATAGATTTATGTAGTGAGTTTTGTATTCCAATAAAATTGGCGTCATAATTATTGCCATTGTTATTATTGTTGCTGCTTATGGTCGACTTTGAGAACTCTGTATTATCACGAATATTTAATGGATTTTCACTTAGACTACTTATTAGCTTATTAGATTCAAATGATGATAGATTTTGATTAGTAAGCAATGAATTTTGACAGACTGTTTGATTTCCCCACTGACTGACTGAATCATTTTTCACTTGATTTGATTAAAAGAAAAAAATACAAGTGAATAGAATGATGGATAGTTTTACTTCACAAAAAGAAATAATTGCATGCTAGAATTTTAATGATATAATTAGAGGGAAAGGAAAAATCTTTTGTGTATAGCTGTATGTACGTTTTGTATCGGTAAATCTATTACAAATATTGTACTTAATATCATTGATGGATTAACACTTACATAGACCACAAATAGTTTTTAAATTAAAATGATATACTACATGGTATATACTGATGTATGTTCACTGTATTCGATTGTTATAATTAAGGAAAAAGAAGTACACGGTATGGCTTAAGCAATACATTCCTGGTATACTTAGTTGAGAATTTACCTTCAGCTGATGTAAAGCTTCCACTGAAACGACAAGTTGTTTTCCAGTGTATCTTCAGAGAAATTATGACACCATAAAGACATCATTACATGTATACTTACATCTAGTAATAAAAAATAAGACCAACACTTTTAAATTGCACATCAAGTTTCACCAGCGGATTTGTTACCAGATTATTTCAGATTTTTGATGTGTGGAATGATGTCAGTGGGTTGTTTATATTATAACTTTAGCTTGATTCAAGTGGAAACCACGGTGCTTGCATGAAGACAGGTCTTCATTCATACTTGAAAGAACTCAGTCTCAGTTAATTTTGTTTTAATTGGTGGCCAGCTCTTATTGATATGGTTTTGTTGTTGTCAACTAGATGGATTTCTTCATTCTGGGTGAAACATAGGTTGATGAAACTAGCAGAAAGCCTTAGACTGTGTCTGTACCATGAAGGTATGTGGTGTGACAACTGTGGGGTGGACGATAAGTGCGCTGAATGAGAATTACAGTTGTTTACTTGTGACAGAAATAGTTTGAGAGCAGACTCTTCGAACATGGAACTGAATGAAGGTTCAAGGCAGTACAAACTCCTGGTTGTGTTGCATTCTCTCAGGTGGGTGACTTAATTGTTAAGCTTTCATTGTGTTTCTAGACATCATCAGCACTAACTTCAATATGAAGTAAGTTGTGGATATCTTTCCTTGAGTAATGAAGTAGCTTGCACTGACGAATAGGTTTTTGACTGGTTGTTTCCTTTGATTGCTGTGACATTGACTGTACACATTTCCTTCTTAACTGTTTCTCTGCCTGACCACTGACCTTTCTGATGTTTACAGTTTTTTCTTATTGGCTGATAGATTAGGGCCTATGTCTATACATCTGCTGATTGCTAAATGACCTGATTGACAAGCTTCTAGGAATTCTCCAATATACTTCGTGTTTCTTGTGTCCAACATCTCTACATTTTCAACCAATGCAAAATATTTACGCTAACGATTCTCGGCAAGTACCAATTTTGTGTCCGTAACTTCAGATGACTTTCCCTTATATAATTCTTTGCGCCAGAGTCAGTCAGACATTTGTCAAACCTTAGTTTCTCTGTATTTTCGTGCTCATCAGTTTTACATTTTTTCGAAAGATGTTTCAAATTTTATATTTCCGAGTAGTACTAAATTAAATGATTATGTATTTTTCCAGAATCTTGGTGGGAATGTGAAAGAGTATCATTTCATTTCAGATAGGTTACAAATTCTATTTCTTTGTTTTATGCATTGTTTAGGTTATTATCATGATAATCGTGGGAATGCGATATATATATATATATATATATATATATATATATATATATATATATATATATATATAAAGAAATAAGAATCATCCACTCACTCTCAGCTAATTACTGAGAACTCTGAGTAAATAGCTGGTTTCAGAAAGTCACAATGGAAATTCTTTTCATTGAAAGCACTTCAAACCGAAACACATACACATATATGTTTTAAAATTTTTGCGATTTTCCTTATGGTCATTCCACTTGCCATTGCATCTAAATAACTAATCTGACTTCAGATAGGCAATAACTTGTTTTCCTAACAGAACAAGTGGAAGAACCTAAGAAACTGGTGAATCTGAGATTAAAAGTGACTTCATGGGTTCCAGTATTTTGAAAATATGACGAAATACAATTTTGTAGCTATTCGTTAACTGAATAAAATTGAGTACTTGGCTAAGATCCACTTTAATGAAGCCACAAACTCATCGTTTTGTAGGCTAATAAGAACAAAAGTTAGTTTTTGGACAACCATTTATTCTGAAACAGACAAAAGGGGTTTTATTGATATGTCTAACAGGCGGTAAAGTATATTTCATGGATAAAATATCTGGGTTGGATCTAAAAACCTTAAGGGATGAAATACTTCCACTCTACTTTGATTTTAGTGATAAAGAAGAGAATGACTACAGCCATTACAGGAAAATTTTGCCGAAAAATTATCTACTTGGCTTAGTGGTATTTCCATAACAAAAGTGTTTACTTTTTGACATGTAAGATATCAAACAGTGTTTTTGAATGGGTTTACATTAAATCTGGAACGAAAACCTGGGCCATGAAAAAAGTTAAGGCACTAGCTTACATGCCCAAAACAAGACAGTTGGCAAAATACGTTCATTGCTTTTTTCGAGCTCCTTCGATATAGTGCTACTTCAAAAGACTCATGTCTCTCATATCAACTATTCAAACTATAAATTACACCAAACTACAAAGATAATATTCAGTAAATAACCCCGGTTTTGTTTTTTAAGGCAAGCTTAGGCCAGTGTTTTCCCATCCATAATGCAAAATAAAAATCTTATAGTAATAATAATAATAATAAGCACTTTATTCTAGACAGTAACTTTCAGTACGATTTGGGGTTCTCAGTATTATATTTCAAAAAAATTACTTCTTGTACAATAATTTGAAACTAAAAAACCGTGAAAGTCGAATAATGTTAACAAAAACAGCATGATAGGCAGTAATAGGTAGTAACTAGTAGTTTTTAAGCCATCATCTGATTTGCATGTTGCTGCACGTGGGCCAGATAAAAAAACACGCAAAAGCTTGGTGGTGGAGGTTCCTTCATCCAGTAGGAGAATTTACGGATCTACCTATGTGTTCCTGTCTGATATACTGTTGTGCTTTCAAGGGATAACTGCCATCCACTGCGATGCTTTCTCGTAGTCTTGTTGTTAACCCGTCTAACGACAGGTTAGAGAAATTTTAGGAGTATGTGAGAGCATGTTTTGCTACCATTTTACATTTAAATGGCTGAAACAAGTTTTTAGAAAAGGAGCAGCTTGAAGAAATATATTCCAGGAAATATTTTTGGCAGGCTGCTGATTTTCCAGCAGACTAAAAGAAAACAAAAGCCCAAGGTGGAAACAAACCACAAATATGTCAATCATGTTTCTACATATATATGCGTTTTATCAACTAGGTAACTGATACTGGGTGATGCTTGAAGGTGAAATGAAAATTTGGACCGTGGCAGGATTCAAACCAGCGACCACCAAGTTTCCTGCCCCGGTGCTCTACAAACTGATAACTAAGTAATTCTTATTTGTCACTTGAATTTTAATCGCATTCACAATGGTTATTACTGATGGTATGAATAGCTTTTACGGCCACTTTTGCTTTTCTTACCTGTTTTTTTTTAATGTGCTAGTTTCTTGACAAAAACACTGAAAAGAACCGCCGGAATCGTACTGGGTTAGTTAAATATACTGGCTGAATATCTAAGCACAGATTCTGCTTTCATCCTTTTTACTGTATGAAATTTTAACCACCAATCAAAGTTGTTACTAAGAAATACATAGAGATTCAATGGGTGTATCAAAGGGAAAAGCTATAGTATAAATGTGTTTTTGAAAGGAAAAACATGTGTCATAATCTGTCATAAATAGTTGTTGCATGTCTAAGTGAAGAGATCGTATTTTCTATTTATGCATACTTTGAAATATACATTGTTTTCATCAAATGAATTTATTATGATTTCACAGAATTTCTTACAAATATAAATCAGTCACAGAACCGACGGAAATCAAGGTACACTTGAGGACCATATTGTTTAGGTTAGGAGAACCTTAACAATGCAGACTCGTAACTGATCACAAGACTATCAGGTACGCTATCATTCACTTTATAAACACTTTCAAAACAGGTAGCAATTTATAAGCCTTGAAAGTGAATAATAATCCCATGTTAATTCATGACTGTCTCCGTAAAATACTCTTCCTGAAATTTCAGTGAGAAACTATCAACTGTAGGGTCAACCAGGTCGAATGAAAAAATACTGACTCATCAGTGACATTGTATAGGGGTTACACTTTGTTGTAAGTTATAAGAAGTGGGAACATGAAATGCTACAACATTACTAGATGTTTGGTTGGCACTGTACTCATCTAGAACAATGCCTGCCTTAGTTAGATTCAGTATCAGGCTATGGGAGCACCCTAGTCATAACTCTTAAATAAAAATGAGATAACTGTCTATTAATTCTACCTTTCTGAAGAGTGCTGTAGCAGACACCAGTGCACCAGATTTTAATTCTTAGTCTTAGTTTGAAAAGTGTAAGAAATTCATCAGTATTAAATTTCACACATTTATTTCAAAAACAATTTCAAGGTAATTGAATGTCCAGTGAATGTTACTAGCAGGTTAAAACAGAAGGTAAACATGGTTAGCTAGTTCACTAGTTACTAGCCTATCCTAAGCCTGGGGAAAGGGGAAAGGTTGAGCATAGAGCTAGCAATCCTACCCCCAAAAACCAATCCAATCCCTAAAAAACTTCAAAGCACAAAGAGAATATAAAACATAGAAGCAAACTTATTCCTCACTGGAATCGGGAAGACGAAATGATGCCGGTTGGTGAAAGCCTTCGGAAAGCCATTCGGTCGACGTGTGTCTTGTCTTCTCTCGATGAAATCGAAAGTAAACATGGGGACATGGAATGTCAACACTATGTTTGAGGCTAGCTGGCAAGACTGCCCAGATTGCAAAAGAGATGAGGAGGTATTGCATGGAAGTGCTTGGAATCTGTGAGGAATCTGCAGATGGAATGGAAATGGACTCTACAAACTGTCAACTGCAGAGTCAGTAATCTACTGCGATACTGTT